TAACCTACTTCCAAAAAAGGAGGAGGTTTTCAGTTCGTCGGAATACTTATTTTCTTTGATTTATGTTACCGCCTAACTTTGGACCACATCAACCGATTTCGATAATTCTTTTTGCATCCGAAAGGTAGTGTCCCATACTATTCTGGTTAAAATCGATCATTGGATCATTGCTGAGAATTACTTGTTATTGAATTTATTGCATTTTTATCCCCAATGAACATAGTATTTCAGTGATCAAATACTTCTCTTACAAAATTTTTCTTCACTTCCAGGTAGCGATAAAAATTATCGATAAGACATGCCTAAATCGGGAATACCTAACCAAAACATTCCGCGAGATTTCCATTTTGAAATCGCTGCGCCATGCGCATATCACTCGTCTCTATGAGGTGATGCAGTCAGAGACAATGATCTATCTTGTCACAGAGTATGCGTCCAACGGCGAGATATTCGATCATCTGGCAGAGAATGGACCTATGAAAGAGCAGGAAGCGGCGCGCGTTTTCACACAATTGGTCTCAGCCGTGCAGTATTGCCATTCGATGGGCGTGGTGCATCGTGATCTCAAAGCGGAAAATGTTTTGCTCGATAAGGATATGAATATCAAGGTAAGAGTGTCGAATACTTACCTGAATACTAACAACCGAAACATCAAATCATTTTCGTTGCACAGCTCGCTGACTTCGGCTTCAGTAATCGCTACGAAGAGGGCAATCCGTTGACAACGTGGTGCGGTTCGCCACCATACGCCGCACCTGAAGTATTTCAGGGTCTGGAATATGATGGACCCAAAGCAGACATCTGGAGCTTGGGCGTCGTGCTGTACGCGCTAGTGTGCGGTGCACTGCCTTTCAATGGTGATACGCTGCTGGAGTTGAAAGGACGCGTAGTTACTGGAAAATTTCGCATACCATACTTTATGTCACGAGGTAAGTTTAAATGGATTGATTGGAATGAATGTATGCACATATGTACATATGTAAATGTTTTCAAAAAATTTCACATTACTCTTTCTCTCCATTTTTGCCACTGTAACGTGGTTTAGACTGTGAGCACCTCTTACGTAATATGCTGGTCGTTGAGCCAGATCGACGTTATACATTAAAACAAATTATAAAACATCGCTGGCTAAGCGATTGGGCAGCGGAACTAGATGATTACGCACAACATTCCGACAGCAGTCCACTTGCGTGTAGCGACAGCAATAGCAGCTGCAATGCGCAAACGACAGCGACTGTTGCCAACCTAGATACGGAGATAATGAAGAATATGCTACAATTGCCTGGACTGACCGCCGATATGATTGCCGAGTCGGTGCATAATCATCGCTTCGATAATATATATGCCATTTATTATTTGCTTGCCGATAAGTTGCAGCAAAGGCGACGAGAACAACATAGAATGCAGCATCAAGCTGCCTATTCAAGGTACTGCATGCATAGTATTTAGAAACATTTTAAGGGCCGGTTGTTCAATGTCTGGTTATCATTACCACTACACTATCGACGATTTCGACATCATGCATGTAGCATGTGATCGATAAAGCAGTCGTTGTACTTAACCGGAGCTTCTACCTCCGATTTTGGTAATCAGACATTGAACAACCGGCCCTAAAACTGTGCGAGTTCATTTGACAACCTAAGGGCCGGTTGTTCAATGTCTGATTAGCACAAATCGGAGGTAGAAGCTCCGGTTAGATACAACGACTGCTTTATCGATCACATGTTATATGCATGTTGTCGAAATCGTCGATAATGATGTTTAACCGGCAAGTAGTGATAACCAGACATTGAACAACCGGCCCTGAATTGTTTGGGTATAAGTGAAAAATAGGGCCTGTTCAGCTAAAAAAAAAGAAAAAGTGGACATAGTTCGCCTTCTTTCATTGATTCTAACGGTATAAAAAGTGTTTGATGCAAATTAATAGAGGCGGTGCTAAAAGGTAGTAAAAACAGAATTTTTACTATTTTTAAAAGCTTATTTTTTAAAAATTATTGAATCGATATTCAAAACGTGGATATGGTTGGATATGGAATTGAAATACCTTTCATTTGATGTGTATATCTATATATATAAAGATCACATATTTCGAGAAAACTAAAAAAACCAAATTATAGCAATTTTTTAATAAAAATGAATTTTTCTTACGTAATTACCTATATTAAAAGATAGACTTTTTTCCAAAATTTCAAAATTAAAATTTAAAATACTGTCTTGTTTTGATATACATACCTTTTAATTGATTACGTATTTTTTTAAGAAAAACATACATTTTGATTTAAAAAAGGAAATAATCTCGTTTTTTCGTAATATGAATATATTATTTAGATAGATATACATACTTAATGAAAGGTATTTCAATTACCTATCCAGCCTTATCCACGTTTTGAAAATCGGTTCAATAGTTTTCGAAAAATTAGCTTTTGAAGAAATATTGAAAATTCCACTTTTTCCACCCCCTTGCACCTCCCTTTTAATTTGCAGTAAAACAAAATTCATATCAGCAAAATCAAGAATGAGGAGCGAGCCACGCCCGCTTTTTCTTTTTTTTTAGCTCATCGGGCCTCTTCTTTATTTTACCAAAATCAAAGATATTTGTACTGACATTTTTGTGAAAATTTTCTTTTTTGTGCCATAGAAAAGATAAAAATTACTTAAAACTTATAAAAAAATCATTGTTCGCTTAATCGTACGCCCTTTTATATTTCACAGTTAAATTTAGGTTGAAAAGTATGCTCGCAGAAAATCTAAATTGTTCCTATTCACTGCGTTACCGACACTTTCCAGTGATTTAGGACTTTTCTCTATTTAGGTAGCAATTTAGACGTACTCGCACACAGCCTTTAAATGAGTACCATATCGATACTTTCGGATCGATATCGTGTCCCTACTAATGTAAGCGGTTACTAATGGTAAAGCAGGGCAAGTATGCATAACTGGGCCAGAACATAGTGTAATAAGCAAAGTGAAATCAATATATGACATATTTATTTTTCATACGCTTATATGACAACGGTTTTGTCATTGCGTTAAGCCATTTTATTCAAAATAAAAAAATTGTTGATTTCAAATCAAAAAATAATTTTTTAGAAATTAAAGAACAAAAAGAAAAAAATCGTTTAAAATGTCAGATACTTGCTGTTTATGCAGAAGCACCCACAACAATGGGGTAGGTATGTTTCGTGTGCCAACAGATGTTACGCAAAGGGAGTGGATGAATGCGTGTGGTGTTCAACTAACTGGATCATCGAAAGTTTGCGGTCTGCACTTCAAATCGAATGAAATCATTTATGCAAGTATTAATGCCAGGAGAAGACGCCTCGATACAGATGCAGTACCATCAAAGATGTTACCTGCTATTTCATCAGATGAGAGGTAATGATCAAAGTGTGGGTATGTTCTCAAAGGCATAGTAAGTACACTCTAAGGGCCGATTGTTCAATGTCTGATTAGCACAAATCGGAGGTAGAAGCTTCGGTTAGATACAACGACTGCTTTATCGATCACATGTTATATGCATGATGTCGAAATCGTCGATAATGATGTTTAACCGGCAAGTAGTGATAACCAGACATTGAACAACCGGCCCTAAGGGCCGTTTGCACCATGTGGAATTTCGCTATTCGCGACAAATTTGGTATGTAAAAGTAAACAGGCAATGTTTAGGGCTGGTTACTCAATGTCTGGTTAACACTAATCTGCGGTTAAACATCGTTATCGACGGCTTCGACTCCATACATACAACAGGGAGTCGGTAACGTCGATAACTATGTTTAACTGGAGATTAGTGTTAACCAGACATTGAGCAACCGGCAAATTTGCACACATTAAGGGCAGGTTGCTCNAACGTCTATAACGATGTTTAACCGGGGATTAGTGTCAACCAGGCTTTGAGAAACCGGCCCTAAAAGAGGAAACTGGTCACCTCTCTTAGGGCCGGTTACTCAATGTCTGGTTAACACTAATCTGCGGTTAAACATCGTGGTCGACCTCTTCGACTCCATGCATACAACAGGGAGTCGGTAACGTCGATAACTATGTTTAACCGGAGATTAGTGTTAACCAGACATTGAGCAACCGGCAAATTTGCACACATTAAGGGCCGGTTGCTCAAAGCCTGGTTGACAATAATCACCGGTTAAANGTCATAGGTAAAATTGCCGGTATAGCAGTTCATAAAATATTATTCCAAGCAGGGATGCCGTTTGGATCTAAATAGATCCGATTAGATACATTTTTAGACGAATTTTTGCGGGATACTTATTTTTTCCGATCAGTATAAGGGCCGGTTACTCAATGTCTGGTTAACACTAATCTGCGGTTAAACATCGTTATCGACGTCTTCGACTCCATGCATACAACAGGGAGTCGGTAACGTCGATAACTATGTTTAACCGGAGATTAGTGTTAACCAAACATTGAGTAACCGGCCCTTAATATGCGCAAATAAACACAATTTTTTTAGAGCGTATTTAAAGTCTTTTCAGTAAAATTCATACAAATTTCCTTAAATAAATTAAATTTAGTTTTTTTAACAGTGTTGTTTAAACTACATTGAAATCTTCTTTCTTTTTAAATTAATAAATGAAAATATGTGATATGAAAGATATTACTACAGAAAGAGTTATTTACTTTATATATATGTATATTAAGATCTTGCTTAAAGCATCCTTTTTAACTAATTAAAACAATTGCGCTTATATCTCTTCATATGTTCACTGCTTCGTTCACAAAAAATAAAATGTTTTAATTTCACGCTTAAGTAGCGATTTTCAGTAAATTTAGAAAACGTAATGTTTTCTACCATCTCTAATGAAAATCGCTTTTAGAACGAAAAAAAAAACTTTATAGAAAATATAAAATTTTGGGCTATTTAAAAAAGTATCCACATTTAGGGCCGGTTACTCAATGTCTGGTTAACGCTAATCTCCCGTTAAACATAGTTATCGACGTTACCGACTTCCTGTTGTATGCATGGAGTCGAAGACGTCGATAACGATGTTTAACCGCAGATTAGTGTTAACCAGACATTGAGTAACCGGCCCTTATACTGATCGGAAAAAATAAGTATCCCGCAAAAATTCGTCTAAAAATGTATCTAATCGGATCTATTTAGATCCAAACGGCATCCCTGCTTGGAATAATATTTTATGAACTGCTATACCGGCAATTTTACCTATGACTAGAATCATTGTGAATACTTTTGTTGTTGAACATCCACCCATGGGTGCAAAAATACTTTGCTTTCCTTTTTCTGTTCGGTGTTCCATGAATTTGGACTAAAAAATGAAGGTGTGTGGCGATTTTGTTAAATATCTTCGTTTAAAAAACTTCTCCGCACAAACTTTTCGATTATTATTGTAGTAGCAAATACTTTTCTGAATTGAGATGTAAAAATTTATGTGGTTTTGAATTGATCGTCAAGATACTTGCAGATTATCTATTGATAATGCCGTATTTCCTTAACTTTTTTGGATAATTTTATTTTTATTTGATAGCTTAACGTGTCTTACCCGGCTACAGGATGCCAGAAACTATTCGAAGTTGTGGATGAACACAAGCTTCGTGTGTTCTATGAGAAGCGAATGGGACAAATTGTAGAGGCTGATGTGCTTGGAGATGAATGGAAAGGTTATCATCTTCGAATCGCCGGTGGAAACGATAAACAAGGTTTCCCGATGAAACAAGGCGTCCTGTCCCACGGTAAATAAAAAATGTTCTATAATAAATTTTAGTGGATGTCGAAGTATATATATTTTTCAGGTCGTGTACGTCTGTTGTTGAAAAAGGGTCATTCTTGCTACAGGCCTCGCCGTACTGGTGAGAGGAAAAGGAAATCTGTTCGTGGTTGCATTGTCGACGGCAACATGTCGGTTTTGGCTCTCGTTATTGTGAAGAAAGGTGAGCAAGAACTGCCCGGTCTCACTGACACAGCAGTTCCAAGAAGACTTGGTCCTAAACGTGCAAGCAAAATTCGTAAGCTTTACAATTTGACCAAGGATGACGATGTGCGCCGCTTTGTTGTTCGTCGCCCGTTGCCAGCAAAGGATAATAAGAAAGCCACATCCAAGGCACCGAAGATCCAGCGTCTAGTTACTCCAGTTGTCCTCCAAAGGAAGCGTAGACGTATTGCACTGAAAAAGAAACGCCAAGCCGCATCTAAAGAAGCCGCTGCTGATTATGCTAAATTGTTGGCACAACGTAAGAAGGAGTCCAAGGCCAAACGTGAAGAGGCTAAGAGGCGGCGGTCTGCTTCTGTGAGAGAATCGAAGAGCTCAATTTCAAGTGACAAAAAGTAATTTTTTTAAAAGGATCCCAAAATAAAGGATTTAAATATCTTAACTTTCGAGAAAACGTCATTTCCTTAGGGGGAAGCGGCCCATAGGTCCCATAAAATAGCAGTGTCACTTTCAGAAGGGAAGGCCTCTAAATTCATCAATGCAAATTTGCGCAACAAGTTGCACTTCGGCATTTCAACTTGGTTGCGCATCATGATTCAATAATCATGCCTATTACGGTGTCCGACGGATGCCATCCGCACGGATCTAATCCGATTCGCACCCCTACAAGAATTGTGTGATGGAAACTAACACATTCTCATTTACCTTACTAACACATGTACAAACTTTGCGTTGGTTAAAAAGAGACAACTAAATAATGCCATAAGTCGGAGGAAGACGGAACACAAATGTTTACATCAGATTTTTCACACTGCCCTTTAGAATTTGATAGAAACTTGTATTCGTTGTTTACAATTTTGTGGTGGCTTTTTACTGCAATTTTCTTAATTTTCGCTTGTGACAACGTGTGCACACATAAGGTAAAGAATAATTTAACACAACGACATGATTTATAGAAGAATTTGCATAATAATAATTTTTAGC